CACATCAGTGACACACCACATCAGCCCTGTGACACACCAACACATCAGCCCTGTGACACACCACCACATCAGTGACACACCAACACATCAGCCCTGTGACACACCAACACATCAGTGACACACCAACACATCAGCCCTGTGACACACCAACACATCAGTGACACACCACCACATCAGTGACACACCACCACATCAGCCCTGTGACACACCACCACATCAGCCCTGTGACACACCACCACATCAGCCCTGTGACACACCACCACATCAGCCCTGTGACACACCACCACATCAGCCTTGTGACACACCAACACATCAGCCCTGTGACACACCAACACATCAGCCCTGTGACACACCACCACATCAGTGACACACCAACACATCAGCCCTGTGACACACCAACACATCAGTGACACACCAACACATCAGCCCTGTGACACACCAACACATCAGTGACACACCACCACATCAGTGACACACCACCACATCAGCCCTGTGACACACCACCACATCAGCCCTGTGACACACCACCACATCAGCCCTGTGACACACCACCACATCAGCCCTGTGACACACCACCACATCAGCCCTGTGACACACCAACACATCAGCCCTGTGACACACCACCACATCAGCACTGTGACACACCAACACATCAGCCCTGTGACACACCAACACATCAGCACTGTGACACACCACCACATCAGCCCTGTGACACACCACCACATCAGCCCTGTGACACACCACCACATCAGCCCTGTGACACACCAACACATCAGCACTGTGACACACCACCACATCAGTGACACGCCAACACATCAGCCCTGTGACACACCAACACATCAGCCCTGTGACACACCAACACATCAGCCCTGTGACACACCAACACATCAGCCCTGTGACACACCACATCAGTGACACACCACATCAGTGACACACCACATCAGCCCTGTGACACACCAACACATCAGCCCTGTGACACACCACATCAGTGACACACCACATCAGTGACACACCACATCAGCCCTGTGACACACCAACACATCAGTGATACACCAACGCATCAGCCCTGTGACACACCAACACATCAATGACACACCAACGCATCAGCCCTGTGACACACCAACACATCAGCCCTGTGACACACCACATCAGTGACACACCACATCAGTGACACACCACATCAGCCCTGTGACACACCAACACATCAGTGACACACCAACGCATCAGCCCTGTGACACACCAACACATCAGTGATACACCAACACATCAGTGATACACCACATCAGCCCTGTGACACACCACATCAGCCCTGTGACACACCAACACATCAGCCCTGTGACACACCACATCAGTGACACACCACATCAGTGACACACCACATCAGCCCTGTGACACACCAACACATCAGCCCTGTGACACACCACATCAGTGACACACCACATCAGTGACACACCACATCAGCACTGTGACACACCAACACATCAGCCCTGGGACACACCACATCAGCCCTGTGACACACCAACACATCAGCCCTGTGACACACCACATCAGCCCTGTGACACACCAACACATCAGCCCTGTGACACACCAACACATCAGCCCTGTGACACACCAACACATCAGCCCTGTGACACACCAACACATCAGCCCTGTGACACACCACATCAGTGACACACCACATCAGTGACACACCAACACATCAGTGACACACCAACACATCATTGATACACCAACAGATCTGTGACAGTGCAACCAACATACCAGTACATACCATGTCTCGTGCAATCCTTCAAAAATCATACTCTTGCGTTGGGAATCACAGTGGATAATATTTGCGTCAATTCCAATTTTTGTATGCATATAACATGCAAGTTTCTGTGTGGGGTAAAACCATCATAAAAAATGTCATTTTCTAAAATGTGAGCATGCCCCATCATACAACTTGTAATTCAAGCAAACTCACCATAAAGAAATCAAGAAAAAACATTTGTGAAATTTATTAACCAGCTGTTACAAGCAGTCCAAGGAGAACTCAATATGGTGTCTCATTAACAATCCCGACCACAGTTTGATGATACCAGTCAATGTCAACAGGTTAAGCAGTCCATTCCCTCTGTCTCTCATTGGTATGCTGTACATCTGGGTGTACAAGGACACTGCATGTAAATGGGTTAGTACTGAAATTAATGTTGATACAAGGCAATCCCGAGTTTGCAGCTGCAGAAATTGCCCACCAAGCAGCGGACTCTCCATAATGTCCATTCGCATGAATTGTGCCAAACTTGAAACTGAAACACTGTTTGTCGATATCTGGGATTGACTTAGGCTGCGATTCCACGATATTTTTGCATAGTTGTTGCATCAACATTCAATCAGTGCGATTGAAAAAATCTTTCAATGGTTTTATCTGCATTAACCATGTTCACACTCATTTTCATCTACAAAAATCGAAAATGTCGTATTGCTTAAATAAATTTATCTACGGTACCTAAAAATGTCATTAGAAAACTTACACGCTAGTTTATTCAATTGCCAAAAGTTGTTAATCGAAACAGCGATTTGCATGCTCGCCACATTGCATGGTATCTCTTACTGTGCATAACCGATTCCAAAATCACTGCATGGAGCTTCGCATCAGCTGACAATGGTGGGGTGCGCAACATGTTTTTTAATCCCTGATTGGCAAAACAAGTGTGTTTACAAACTAATCACTTTGGTAGCGCACAAAAATCTTATTCCGTGATCTCCAAGTCATTAAACATATTTTTAAGACTTATACTAGCAGAAATCAAGGACGTTGATCTCAATATCATTCAAGCTGTAATAGTTGAAATGTCGTGCTGAAAAGCTAAATACTGTAACTACATCTGTAATCCCGCATTCTTTCGTTTGTTGTTTAACGCCGCTCTCAGCAATATTCCAGCTATATGATGGCGGTCTGTAACTAATCAAGTCTGGACCAGACAATCAAGTGATCGACATCGTGAGAATCGATCCAAGTCAAGCTTATTCCACAACATTTGTTCTATTGAAGTATCTAAACAAACTTTTACGCACATCTGAAAATAATACATGGGTGTTTCAGTTTTATCACTGATGTCACACCTCACCTTATTGACTTCATGGACTTTCAGATTCTAACTGTGGAAGGAGACTAGTAACAAACTACCCATGTCGGGGATCTAACCCGGATCTTCGGTGCGAAGAGTGAACACTTCAACCACAAGGCTACCCAACCACACCTCAGTATAAGAGAATTGAAAAAGAAGCCTTACAAAAACCGAGCTTGGTCAAGTAAAAAGTAAGACAACCGAGGCCAGAAATTCCAGCCTAGTGCAAGGGTGGAAACTGGACTTTTACAGTCAGTTAACTCTATTGCCTCAGGAATATGTATTGGGTCAGTGGCATAAAAAACTGAAAACTACGAACAATGATGACAATCGGCGAAGTCATAGATCAATGATTCCTACTCAAGTCAGTTCCAAGGGACCAAGTGAATTTGATAATGTCAGCAGTGTTACACCTCACTCATCCGGGATGTCTGATTTCACATACCGTATTCGACGTAATAAGCGCCCAAGGCGATATTCGCTAATATATTAGTCAGTGAACAATCTCAATCAGCACCCATTCCAACTGTACACAAGACTTATTTATTCATGTATAATACGCACTCGTATGTTATATGAACCCTTAATTTTGGGCAATTAAATCCTGGAGAAATATTTCTGTCGTATATAAACATTTCAGGCTGTCAGCATAAACCATAAAATTTATGATCTTTCAACTCAAAATAATATTCTAATAAGAGCCCCCTATCTCTAATTTTGAGAGCGCCCCGTCGAATACGGTAATGTCTGAGAAGAAGCGAGACTTTCATGGCCGGTGAATGACCTTGAGAAAGGACATATAACAACAGCTATGAATCCTCTGATCATTCACCGTTCATCCAGAGTAAAAGGCTGAAAGCTATTTTATAGTCAACTAGAGTATGTCCCCTCATCATACTGATTGCTTCATATAACAAACCAAAACACCATGACTGCAATGGAAGATAGCTCTGATAATAAAGTCATAAAATCACTTAACCATGTTAACAGGAACCTATTCAAGAAAATATGTCCAGTGTACCATGGCCATGTTGGTATATTCAACTCTACATACGTATCTTAATGACATGACCATTCTAGGAGAGTAACACTACATCACAGTCTTTATATAATTCCAGATAGCCAAGCTGCGTATCTGTTTAAAAAGAAAATGAAAAAAACCCACGCCATTACCCACTTAAGCCATGTATAGTTGCTTGCTACAAACAGACATGGTCTGGTGCATAGAGAAAGGCTGTGTCATACCAAAAGATCTAAAAAGGTGGTTCCTGTATACCCTGTCAGCTGCTGGGCATAATGGCATAAAACAAGAACTCCCTGTGTGTAGACATGCAATGTGGACAGACATCCCCTGTCTGTAGACATGTCCCCTCTGTACAGACACGCCCCTTAACTGGGGGATCAAATATTGGGATAAAACAAGAACTGGTCAGCATGCCCTGTGTGTAGACATGTCACTTGTATGTGGGCCTGGTTATAGATCTATTTTAAATTCACCAAACTCAAGTGAATAAAATGTACAGAAATTTGTTGTTGCTCGGTTTCAGATTGGTCCACTTTCTAGGACGCAGACTGATTGTTATCCAAATTGTTCTTAGAATTTTATTCAAATTTGTTAATGAAATGGGCTAAAACAATGTCCTCATTATCATGAAAATGCCTGATATTTCTCTCCAGCAAAATCACCCGGTTTCAACTAAATTCTTACATGAAACATAAATTAATAAATCGTTTCAAATAGGCAAGTTTTCTTAACATTCACTAACAGAAAGTTTTTGCAAAGTCATGGTTCAATATTTTTAGCAGCTATGAGTTTACACATTCTTTTCGTGTTCCCAATACCCACGTTGCCTGTACAAACTGCATGTTCATGGTCCACGGACTACTCACCCTGACTTGCTCTCATTTGTTGCAAGGATGCTGCTTATCCTCAGTTTATTGGCGATGTCCTTTAAAGCTTGTATTTTCTTGGCATCTGGTCTGTGGTATTCACTCATTTTGACAGTTGTCACGAGATATTTCCTTCTCTAACAGAGCTTTTCGAATGAACGTCCCACGCCGGTGCTCGCTGAATGGCCTTGGCAATGAACCCACGACCCTATATGATGTGTGCAAGCGCCATCTAGCAGGTGCGTCAGGGAAAGACAACTCTTCTGTCTTCAAGGGTCGCTGTCACTCGTCACACACAAGATCCACAGTTCGAATACATAGAAGCTCGTGATAGGATTCTTGTCGTGTTGTGGCTAATTCACGATAACGACCAACTCATTCTCGCCTTCTCTTCAATACAGAGACTGCATCACAATGCATTGTACATATCTTTATCAAATATTTGCATTATATTGTTTCATACCTGTACATGCAATTTGCCTTGGTTACTGGAGCAGAACCTTCTCTCGCGGAATATGGCGGGCACAGCAGAGTAAACTCGGCGGTTGTCGGCTATTGTTTGCTAGCAATGCATCAGAGTGAGTGAGTGTGTTGGGTTTAACGCCGCTTTCAACATTATTCCAGTTATACCACGGCGTGTCAGCTTATTGTGGGAGGAAAGCCCGAAGTGATGCAGGTCTAAGACGTTTACCACTTTGGTGAAACCCACGAGCACGGGTATGGTGCTGACAAACCTAGAAACATAATCGGGGCGAACCGAGATTCGAACCCACAATCATAGGTTTCTGGCGTGCCCAAGGGACGCAACTCTGCACCACACGAAAGCAGAGTAATTCCAAAAAACTATTCGAGGTCCATATGGCCAACGTTTGAAATATACGTTTGGCTGCAAAATGTGCACGTATCACGCAGGTCTTGAAATAAATAATGTGCAAAAATCGTAAATGCTGTGCATATATAAGGACACAGATTTCATTACTCTTGAAATCTTGGAGGACAAGTACGCGTGTTGTAGTTTAGGGTAAGAACATTAACCGTGTGAGTAAAGAGTGTGAAATACTCTCATACATCGAAACGAGAGACTCTAAGCTTTCCAATGATATCTTGCTATAGCTTCGGTATTTAGACCAATCTCCTATATAATGCTAGATGGCTGGAGGATGCCCCAGGGCCCACTTGCACAAAGCGATCTTAGTGCTATGATGATTGTAACTCCTATACTTTAACATAGGCTTACGATAGTCTTAGCGCTAAGATCGCTTTGTGCAAATGGGACGGTCATGTATACTTAAGGGTACACAGTTTATACCATAAATCACTAGAGTACCAACGGGACGGTCATGTATACATGAGGGTACACAGTTTATACCATAAGTCACGAGAGTACCCCCGGGACGGTCATGTTTACATGAGGGTACACAGTTTATACCATAAGTCACTAGAGTACCAACGGGACGGTCATGTATACATGAGGGTACACAGTTTATACCATAAGTCACGAGAGTACCACCGGGACGGTCATGTATACATGAGGGTACACAGTTTATACCATAAGTCACGAGAGTACCCCCAGGACGGTCATGTATACATGAGGGTACACAGTTAATACCATAAGTCACTGGAGTACCCCCGGGACGGTCATGTATATATGAGGGTACACAGTTTATACCATAAGTCACAAGAGTACCCCCGGGACTGTCATGTATATATGAGGGTACACAGTTTATACCATAAGTCACTGGATTACCCCCGGGACGGTCATGTATACATGAGGGTACACAGTTTATACCATAAGTCACGAGAGTACCACCGGGACGGTCATGTATACATGAGGGTACACAGTTTATACCATAAGTCACGTGGGTACCCCCGGGACGGTCATGTATACATGAGGGTACACAGTTTATACCATAAGTCACGAGAGTACCCCCGGGACGGTCATGTATATATGAGGGTACACAGTTTATACCATAAGTCACGAGAGTACCACCGGGACGGTCATGTATACATGAGGGTACACAGTTTATACCATAAGTCACGAGAGTACCCCCGGGACGGTCATGTATACATGAGGGTACACAGTTTATACCATAAGTCACAAGAGTACCCCCGGGACGGTCATGTATATATGAGGGTACACAGTTTATACCATAAGTCACTGGATTACCCCCGGGACGGTCATGTATATATGAGGGTACACAGTTTATACCATAAGTCATGGGAGTACCCCCGGGACGGTTATGTATATATGAGGGTACACAGTTTATACCATAAGTCACGAGAGTACCCCCCGGGACGGTCATGTATACATGAGGGTACACAGTTTATACCATAAGTCACGCGAGTACCCCCGGGACGGTCATGTATATATGAGGGTACACAGTTTATACCATAAGTCACTAGAGCACCCCCAAGATGGTCCTGTATACATGAGGGTACACAGTTAATACAAGAATCCATCGAGTCATCAACATAAAATCCAGTTAAACGCCATTTCAACTTACCATGTGTCACTCGGCGGCGGTAAGCTTTGTCAAAAACCTGCTCGATTATTTACAGGCCGTCGTAAAACTGATGGAATAGCGTGGCGTAACACCGCACTCACTCAACAAAAAATGGACTTACCACGCCCCCTTATCGACTGATATATGAATACTTTCCAAGTTGCAGGGAGTTAACTGTTTGCTGTTGTCAATTAGATGTTATATAAGCATTTTGATTTCAAGGTTTGATCCTTTACAAATATTAGCATTTAATTAAATATCACCTTTAAACACTCAGTATATTAATAATGAAAGAAACACTCGCCAATTGTTGCCATGGCAATGACTGATTTGTGCACTGGCCCATTGTATAGGTGGAGGGACTTGTCAGCTACACATGTCTTAATTTCATCCCGTAATTTCTCAAAAGAGCAGCGGACCCGTGAAGATCCGGGGTAGAATAGGTCTACAGAGTGATTGTCGTAAGAGGCGACTATAACTAGATCAGATGGTCAGGCTCGCTGACTTGGTTGATGCATGTCATCGTGTCCCAATTGAGTGGATCGATGCTTATGATGTCAATCACTGGGTTGTCTGGTCCAGACTCAATTGTTTACAGACTGCCGTCATACCTGGAATATTGCTGAGTTTGGCGCTGAACTATACAAACAAACAAACAAACACTCAACTAGTGCAGAGTATTTGCTCAGTTTACTGTGCTACCATTTGGAAGACCGTCCACCATGATGACACCCTCGCCATACCAGAACACGGAGGCCATAACCGTTCCACTGTTTAGATTAATGTTTGAACCCAGGTTTCATCCATTGTCACAATTGGTTGCAAGAACCTTTCTGGTTCAGCTTCAAACAGAGAGTTCACGAGACATATACCTGGTGCAGGCACCACGTGTACAGTAACTCTACTGCAGTGAATAATACACATGTGCAACATATCCCGACATATGTGACATATGAAACGCGAACGCATGCTAACCAGAAGCTGTCTGAAACAGCATAGAAGTAGAACTAGTTTTAAAAAGTCTTCGGTAGACTGGACCTAAGAGAGTAATTTTATACAACCCCTCCGTCACCCCCATCCCCCACCTAAACAAAGTTTAGTACAAGTACAAAAACTAAACTAAAAGAAAATAACAACAACAAAAACAGGACACAATCACTACCTAATGTGAATGGAAACATGTGAGCGAATACCCAATGGCTGAAACAATTATCTGGAATATTGTATCCCACTGACCCATTCATATTGTGTGAATAATTGGCAACCAATTGAAGGGAATTGATTAAAATGCTGACCTAATTGGAACGTGTCACCTTGCATAATTATTGGGTTTTCGCTTAGCCAGACCTTCAGCGTTATTATGTTAAATAGGTCATGTGAGCCTTGATCGCTAAGGTATCAGCATCTGTGAAAACAGAGCACTGTGGGGTTATTATGTCACATATTGGAAACACCTTCGGCCATCTTGTTTCAGTAGCGGTTATGCGATTATGAACAAATCAAAACTATTCAAATACATTGATTTCCCTTCCTATCTGAAATGGTACACAACTTTCTAAATCATGTGCACATTTACAAATTTACAAATGTTTCCTCGCTCAAGGAAATGTTCATATTTGAAACCTTGTAAATTTAGAAAATAGTCAGAAATTGTAGAACCTGAATCCTGAATGGAAGTCGAAATACATTATATATTCACTGGGGTATTAACTTCGGAAGCATATCCGGTCATAGCATTCATGACAAAGCTGATTATATCTATCTATCTATCTATCTATCTATCTATCTATCTATCTATCTATCTATCTATCTATCTATCTATCTATCTATCTATCTACCATATATCTACACAGACGCACACACACACACACAGACGCACACACACACACGCACGCACGCACGCACGTACACACACACACACACACGCACGCGCGCACATACACGTACACAGACGCACACAGACGCACACAGAGTGGTGGTCGGGCTCGCTGACTTGGTTGATCCATGTCATCGTATCCCAAATATGTGGATCGATCCTCATTATGTCAAACACTGGATTGTCTGGTCCAAACTCCATTATTTACAGACCGCTGTCATATAGCTGGAATATTGCTGAGAGCGGCGTTGAACAACAAATAAACAAAATAAAACATACTTACACACACACACACACACATTGTCACTGTCTGGCATTGAATATATATATATCCCCCCACACACGTTGTATCCTCATGCATGCATCATGTTGTCCATGACTTTAAGCAATTATGTTCATCGAGTCGAAATGTAGATGTCGCTGATGCTCGTACGTGGCTCCCCACGCGGCTCTATACATTATAAAACACTTGTTTAGTTGAGATGACACTGAGACAGACCTTGCATTCTTTTTCTGAATAACCTGAAGCGTGGAATCGTAATATTGTTGCGGTAACGAACGTGAGACATAACGTCACCACATTGACCGGTCGTCGTGGACTTATAAAATATCTGCCTGTATATCTATGGCCATGTGAATGAGACTTTTGTAAGTGTACGCTTGTAGGTTTGTAAGTGAACGCTTGCAGGTTTGTCAACAAACATTGAGTTTTATAGGATTTCAGAATTTTTTAATGTTTGAACATGAGCAAGCAATTTTCTTTGGAAATGAAATGAAAAACAGTACAAAAGTCGTCAAAGAACTTTTCTAGGTTATAATTAGTTTGTTTTGA